ATACAAGAGCAGACTAGAAAGAATTGTCAGCTGTTAGAAGTCTAAAACAACTTTGTAGAAATGATCAGCTACTCACTTCAGTACCTAGCAAAGTGTCTGGCATAAGCTTTCAGTTACATTTATTGAATAAATGAGTGAATACCTTTGGAGGTTTCCTTTTACCTTTACATCAGTTGCTGCATGTTGTATCATTTTCCCCTGAATATTCTTGAACAAATAAACTGACACAACATCTCAAAACTTTATTCATTATAAATGAGGTTCATCTAGAATAGGGAAAATCAATAATTTTCCATTTTGATGTCAGCTCTGATTAACTGACAGTGGCCAGCTGAAGCACTATGTTAAGGATTTTGAAGTTTGACCCAACCTCAGTGGACAAGAACATTGTGATCTCTTACATTTTGTACCTGAATACTCCAGGTACATGTGATGACACATGTAATTATACCCATCTAGAGATCCAAGAGGCACTCCAGCCTCTAGTCCAAAGAACTAGTGCATAGGTAATTCAGTTTGAGAGCCTGGGCTCTCAAACTGAATTACCTATGCACTAGTTGAAAAATTTCACATGCACATTTGAAAAATATGCACATTTTGAAAAATAAAACCCTTATGATCCTTTTACTGTCACTGTATCTCTTTTCCCTACAACTGCTCATATTAGTCCATGGTTTCATACCCTAAAGTACAGGGAGCAAATTGTGGAGGGCGTGGCCACAGGACATGTATTCTTTGGTCTTCAAACTGTTTTTGAAAAGTCAGAGTTATTTTTCAACATTTAAAACTATAGGAAGGGGAAGGATGAGATGTGCATCAAGGACAGCAGGAGATGGTCAGTCTATATTTACTGAATCAGGTAGGATGGCAGAAGTTTCCTGCTAGGTACCCTGGTACTACTGAAAAAGGAAGTGTAGGGTCTGTTGAAAACAACAAATTGCATAATTTGATTTTCAGTGTTCTATGAGATATGAAGAAGGAAATAACAAAAGGAGGCAGAATGCAAAGTTGTAAAGTTTCATATTTATTACATCAGAAACTACCGTGAAGAAGTTATTGAAGGAGAAGAAAAAAACGGGCTGAGGTCAAAACTGAAACTTAGGAAAACTGGCATTAAGTGGTGGACTGAGAAAAAGAAGCCTGCAAATCAGACTGAAGTCACAGCTTTCTAAGTGTATAGCCTTGGGCAAGACATTCTGCCTCAGTGAACTTCAATTTTCTCAACTTGTAACTTGAGGATGATAATGCATAGTTCACAGGACAGGTAACCATCTTGCATGGCCATGTGGACACTCAGGTTCAACTAAATACAATAATTCCTAAATCCTGACTTGAAAATTTATTTTTATAAAAAGTAAATTCATATGTGATGGAAGGCATAAAGTTCTAGAGTAAAATGCATTTGTATTAAAAAATAATAAGTCTAAATATCTGATTACTCTTAATAATTTTGCATTACTGGAACCAATACAACCATTGGCCTGAGTTGAATCTCATGCTGGCTTTTTGAGACGTTCTTTCCAGTTTGTTCAAGTCATTTCCCTGACACCAATAGCAAGTCTGTTTTACCTGTCCCCTCGGGCATTAAGTGATTCCTTAAGTTTCAGCCAGCCTAGCTCCAGACAGTCTGATGGGCACAGTCGCTCAGAAAGAAGGTCTCAACTGGAGATTCTATTCCCAATTGCCCACATTCTTTTCTGCCAACCCTCATGTTTCCCAAAACAGGCAATTGAGGGCTTCTGGGAGGAATGTGAAGATTTGTGGCAGAGCAGCAGAGTCAAGAACTGGGATGCACAGCTTAGCTCATTGGCACTAGTGTGGCCTCTCTCTCAACCCTTCTCCTGAGCCTCCTAAGGTTCTGCATTCCAGCATGAGGTTTGTCACACCCACTCCTGTCTTTGGGCTTTGAGAGGGGGCAGACGTGTCTTGAAGCTCTGCCTATTACATTAGTTGTTAGTTTCTGGGCCTCTAAAGTAATTTGGATTTTAGTGTAAGAGATATTCCTAAATATTTTTTTGAATACTTGAGTAACACCAAAAGAATGTAAAATCTTGTAGAATACTATTCAGGAGCTGTTAGAAGCTTAGGTGTAGAAGCTAAGGTGATGAATAATGGTATCAGAGTACAAATAACATAGATTGATGATTCAATGTGCAGATTATCCCTAAAGGACCAACTGATAATAGTTTAGGTGGTACTCTTTGTGATAGAATCAGAAAGGTCTCTCAAGCCTTTTGGACCACTACTCCACATTTGTAATATGAGGAGAGCAGAGGATCATCTCAGAGGTGATACTACTATTCTATCTCTTTGAATTTAATAAATTCTCTTAAAAGATTTGAGAAGCTATCCCTGCTACTTTTTTTCATTGATGTAACTGTTAATCACTAACAGAAATGTTATAAAGAAAAATATTTTAAAGAAATATTTAACTCTAGTTTAAACCCATTTAAGGTGGTTACAGCTAAACCCACTATCTAAAAAGAGAAAGCTGGTCGTTTCCTTGTTAGTCACATCAATCCCAACAGTCCCATGACAGTTACAAATTTTCCAAAGATTACTTCCCAACATCCCTATCACAGGCACAAGGCCAGAGTGCTGCTGTGAAGCCATTAACTGTAAGGATTTTGATCTTGGCATTCTGAGACATTTAAGAAATTAATGGAAAGTTGCTTAAAATTCTCTCATTTTCAGACCATATATGATGCTTCTAAAATTAAATATGTTCTTTAAGGGGAAAATTAGCCCTTTAATTTTAACATATTTTAGAAAGATGAAAAGCTGACAACTCTGTCGGGGGCAGTCTCTCAGCGTGGTAAGTTTCTTTGAGGTCATGTACATGTATTGGGTAGACTAAAATGACTTTTCCTTTTGAGAACAGTAGCAGGCAGGCATTTCTGTTGATCATAAGGTCAGTGTGTGGTCATCTTTTATAGACTGGCACCAAACTACTTATCAAGATTACCTGTCCCTGTAGCTGTGTACTAACTTCATACTCCTTTTTGTAAAATGAGCTTTAATCTTTCACTAGGGAGAAATTACTGTTCTCTGTACCTTCCATTACCTGTTCTCATGCATAACCAAAGCAACTTACAAAGAAACAAAAGTTTGCAGGATTCCCTGTCAAGCATGCAACTATTCTCTTTACCACATATTTTAGCTATCTTTGCACAATAGCAGTTACTTCAGAATTTACTATGTAGTAAAATTATTTTTTTTCAGAATAAAATTTCAGGTTAACTTCAACAGTCATACTGCTAAGGGAATACACTCTATTACTACTTTTCTCTGTGGCTTCAACAGTGAAAGTAGCTACCAGATGCCCCTGCTGAATAATTCAGGAGAATGCAATCACTCATTATAATCATACCCACTGTAATCTCCCTGCCTCATCCTAGACCTTATACCTGCCAGTCTTTATAACTGCAGTTATAATGATGGAAACAGTCCTGAAACTGTCTTGAGGTCTGGAGGTCACAGCATTTTGGTAAAGACCCTCTGGTTTATTTTTAAGATAAGCAAAGAATTTCTCAATGTTGAATTCTCAGAAATACGTTGAGATCATAATTTTAATGCAAATTTCATTGAGAATACACCAATACTCTGCATCCTAGTTTCCATTACCTGAAGATACTTCGTTGATAGCAATAAAACAGGAAATGGGAAAACCAGCAGACTTTCCTCTGATCTCTATGGAGGCACCATGGCTCAGCCAGAATCCCACTTGAAACCACCATGCATCTAATAGAGTCAGACAAGGAATATTGAGTGATTGACTGTTACACAGGCCACCTCTTCTACAGAATTGTTTTATTTTAAAACAAGTAAAATGCAAGTTGTCTATTCAAAAATTCTTCCATCAGCCTCCTCATCTTTCTTGTCCCTGAAAACACTCTCTTACAAGTTGACATCTATTCCCACAATTTCCACCATCATCTCTTTTTGGACATGCTCCTGTTGGCCATAAAATAAAGTTTAGAATTTTTATTTTATTCTGACAGTAAGACTCTGAGCTTTCCCTGGCCGACCTCTCCAAGTTGCACTTCTGTTGCACGTCAGCCACACATGCACTTAATGATTCATAACCCAGGTTTATTCATGTGTGTGTGTTTGTGGTTTTCATCCTATTTGGAGGCATAGTAGTGCAGTGATTAAGAAGACCCAGGTTTGAATCCTTTCTCTGGAACTTACTAGATGTGTGATTTTTCTAAGCCTCCATTTTTCCATTTGTTCAATGGGGTTAGTCGTAGTAGCTCCTTCCTGTGGCTACTCTAGTAATTAAAGTTGTTCATAGGTTTAAAGCACCTGGAACACAGAGAAATTTTTAAAATATCTTTTTATTATTGTTTTGTCATTGATATTATGAGCTTTCTTACTTTGTTATGACAACCTTTCCATTTTATTCCTGTTTCTTGAAGATAAACTTGGTAATCCAGCTGGAAGAAAGCCTTCTATCCTTTTAATGCCAATACTGATTTTTTTTACATGACTTTATAGTCTTCATCACATTCAGTGTTGAAGTCTAGCTGCAACTCTGTTTCCTCTATGAATTCATAATCTCCTCAAGGACAGAGACTGTTTCAAATCCATTCTGTTTCCTCTGTAGGGCCCCAGACACCAGATGTCATTTACCTCTTGGCTGAATGAATAAAGGAATGAGGAGTATTTAATATGGAGCCTATCTTTTCCCTAAATTTAATGATATTCAAAATAACTAGCATATATTTAGAGCACTTTCTGTTCATGGTGCACTTTCCCAAACTTCATCCTGTTTTATCCTCATAATAAATAACCAGTTCAGGAAACCAGGCTACGTCTTATTTTCTGAGAAAGGCCAAAGTGCTATGTTCTCTGTGTTGACCACAGGAGTCTCTGGCACTTTCTGATTAATGGAAGAACACAACTTCTACAGTAGTAGGTCAGTTCACACAATGACAGTGAATTCATTTGCAATTTAAGCTAACAAATTCCATTTTCTAAAAAAAAAAACATACAGGATATTGTAAGTTTCATGGTCATCATGCATTTAATGTTGAATGTTGAAGGTTACATGTCTAGAATATTACATAAGAACTTTGTGATTATAATCTGAACATCCTAGTGAACTTTATATTGCATTCTTAGTGAACATACATGAGACTGCTGTCAAGTAAGACTTTCCCCCAGTTCAATATTCTCTTTACCACATTGTTTTATAAAACATATTCTTTCAAATTGACACATAAAACCTGTACCTATTTATATTATTGTTTTTTTCAGAGTTCCTGTAGTCACAAACTATAAAGAGTCCTAATTTTCTCTTCCTTTCACACAAAGAATCTTTCATTCTAAGGCTTATCATCACTTATGAATAGGACCTGTAAGTTCAAGAATAAATCACAAATGTTGGAGTTAATATACCTTGTGATGTAGGAAATAGGGTATTAGGCTAGTTTTAAAAATAGAAATCTAAGGTACATTTTTTTGCCTGTTGACACAATTTATAAATACCAAAGTCAAATCTCAGTGTTTTCTCTAGCTTACATTGCTATTAGCAGATTACAGTAATAATAACTTCCATTTACATAGTGCCTATAATACTCATTTCAAAAACACCATCTCATTGTATTTTTACCTTAAGAGATAAGCCTCAGGATTCCAATTTAAGGAATCAGAGGGAATAAAATAACTTGCCTAAGAAGAAAATAAGAAAATCAAAACGCCAGAATCTTTGCTTAAAAGCAATTTAACCAATAAGAGCAGTTTAAGTGTCACATTCATAGGATAATTCTGAAAGTTAAATGTTTGGATCTGAACTCTTTTTTCTCTGAGGCCCTTTTCTCTACCATTTTCCCCTTCTCAGGCAATAGTGCCTCCGTTGAGCAGTTTTCAAACAAAAAGCCTGGGACACCCTTTGTTTCCCTTCCCTACTCAAGCTAGGTCCTAACACAGGTTCTGACTCCTCCCTCTCCAGCCTGCTAGTCTCCATTTTTGCTTTCCACCCACTTCTTTATGCCTCTCCCTCACAGACTCCATCTCCCCCAAAGAACAGAAGTCACCTCCTCCGGCCTTCTGTCTCTCTCCACCCTTCACTCCACTTCCATGCAAATTCATGCTCACACAGGCCTTAACAGAGCATGAGTTGAGTCTGGCCCTCCCATTTTATGTCATCTCACTACAGCCACCCCTTGCCTGTGAAGCCCTACAGGCCCTGCCCCAGAACAGCCTCCCCTATCTCCACCTTCCAGGGTCCGGGTTGACCTCTTCCCTTTGACTTTCAAGGCCCTCTTTTTTAAGCTCCTCCCATATACTGGGCTCCTGCCCTCAAGGACTTTGCAAGTTCTGTTCCTCTGCCTAAGAAGGGATTCTCCAACCTTGCATGTGTGCAAACAAACTCTTCACCTAGTTTTTTGTACATGTCCTTTAAGGTCTCAGCCTAAATGTCACTTCCGTGGAGAAAACTACCTTCCCTGAAACCCTATGTAGCTTAGGTCTCCTGTTTTACTTCCCCAGGGAACCCTTCCTTTTTCTTTTCAATAATTATCTCAATTATAATGTTAATTTGTTGGTAAACTAACCTTTTTGGCCTCTTCATCAAACTGTAAGCACCATAAGGGTCTGGACAGGGATATTTTATGCATACGTATATATTTTAATATATATGTTTGATATATATTTTAATATGTATTAAATATTTATGCATATTATATATATATATATAATGTGTATATATGTGTGTAGATATATATAAACCATTGTATGCACACTATGTGTCTGACATCCACAAAAATGTACACATCAAATATTTGTTTGAATGACTGAAATGCAGACAACTTAAAAGTAGCGTGTTCCCGGTGTTTCATCTAAATTGAGAGTAGATATTACCTGGTCCCTGGAGAAACTCCAAAGGTAATAAGAGATGCAAAAAGACTTAAGTAAGCAATTTGCTTTCTTTTTTTGATGTTCTTATTTATTCTGTCTTCCCTTGCTTTTCCGTACCTTCCTCTCTAGTCCTTCCTTCACCTTTCCCCCTCTCCCTTTCCTTTCCTCTCCTTCCTTTAAATAAGCATTCCCACCAGTTGTAGATAGAGGCCTCAGGAAGCCTGAATCCCAGAGTGCTACATGGCAGTGTTTTAAGTGACCCCCCTGGCCCACACCAACAGTTGATTTCTTGCCCAAGTTGTCATTAGCAATTGTGAGTGATTTAGAAACACCAGAGTCTAGACCAGCTGGACTTACAGAGTCTAGCAGTAAATATTAGTCTAGAGATTCATTCTCTAAAGAAAAGTGGGAGACTCTCCCACAGAGGGCACGCTCGTACACAAGTAACAAATTATTAATCTCCAATTCTTTGGGAAATTCTGGGATGGGATTATGAAGTGGCCTCTATCACCCTGTGTCCAATATCCTGTTTTAGAAGATCCCTATTTTAACAAAGTAACAAATTCTAGATTTCATGGTAGAGATCCCTAATTGTATGGCTTTTGAATCTAATCTGCTGTGTTATCTTGGCTAGTTAGAAGCTCATGGTTCTGTAGGTCATTTGAGGAACACAGACTCTCTTTAATTTCAGTTTTTGCTGCTGATTGAAGGGTAAATCTATTGGATACTCAGTGCCCAACCCCTATCATATTCCATATCTTGCACAGAACCTGAACCTTGTAGGTAAAGGTAAAAAGGAGATTCTCTAAGATGCCAGTAAGTGTAGCTTCAGATAAGCTTCCTATCTTTCAGTAGCAGAATATTGAGACTGCATTTTTCAGATCATTGGAGACATCATTCAAGTAAGTTTGTGGAGCTTAAGAATTTATTTATAAAAATAACTGAGCCACTCACAGTCTTTCAGACAGTGGAAAAGAGTAGTCATCATTAATTCATCAGAATTGGCTCTAGTACTAAAGCAGTATTTCAGCTACATTCATATAAAATCCCACCGGCCTTTCTCTCTCACTTCTGGGTTCATCGCTGTGAGTTGCCTGCTTCTTATGATTCCTTTGAAGTTTTGCTACAGACTGGATCTGAGACATCTCACCCAGTGGAGACCTGATTTGGGTGACCATTGGATCTCTTTATTTCTCAAAGGTGATTTCCTTAGCTTTCATTCTTCTGATGGGTCACTTAAAAGAATGTTTGTGCTGAGTGGTACATTCTCCTTGTGGAATCTGCTTCACTGAAGTCTTACTATCCAAACAAAACCAGAGCAAAAGCCCAGAAGCCTTTCTAGCAGAATTCTCACACTTGGGAGGACATATGGGGACTGAAGATAGGTTTCAGTCTGGTTTGCAATCAAGCTGAAGAAATCATTTGGCAGAAATATTAAATATGCCACCTGTGAAAAAAAGTAAAAATTAATTTAATTTTCATAGTTTGTGTAGTTCAGATGTTCCACATGTAGATGTCTTTTTGAATACCTTATCCAAGATATGGCTTCATTAGTTATAGATTATAAAACTCGATCCATAGCAATGTAGATAATCTAAAATTGCAGATAGGGTAATACTGAAATCATTCACAACACTTAAAGCTAAGTAAGTGAAACGACACATGAAAATGTACCTAATGATACAGGAGAAGCTGTCCGGCTCCCTCACCTCCCCTCTCTTCCCTTCTTGCTGTTATAACTTTTACCTTAGGGAAAATCTCACTGCATCTTACATAGAAGCAAACATGTGCTTAAAGTTCTGGGTCATATAAATAAGTAATTGAATTTTTTGGCTTTAAGTGCCTCTTCTTTAGTTTTCTCTGGCCAAGGGAAGAAAGTAATTTTTCACATCAACTAGGAAACTAATTAGGCATCATAGATGTCATCAGTGTGCCCTGGTATTAACCTAAGAAGAAGCCAAGAATGAGAGAACCAATATTAATTTGTGCAGTTAGTATCTGCCAAGCATTGTGCAAGGCACTTTATACATTTTATTAACTCTGTCAAAACAACTCTATGATATACCACATTATTAACCTTATTTTTTTTAAATAGATGAAGTTACTGTGATTTAAAGAGGTTAATTATCTAAGGTGACACAAATCACATGATGTTATATCTAGGATTAAATCCTGATGGACTTCACAGATCTGATATTTTACCCATAGCAGATTGAAAGAAATTATAGCAGATATAGAAAATAATAAAAGTTTTAAATATAGATGAACATTTTGAAGGCAGCAAATAAGTAATGAAATGCAACCTTATATTTTCTAAACTTAAGATTCTGAATTTGAAATGTTAAGACTCAGTTAATATTCTTTCAGTAATAGGAGTTTTACAAAGAGCATTTAAAAATAAAAGTGGAGTCTTACCATCTAAAATATAGTAATTTAGGCCTAAGTGAATTGTTGAACACCCCCCCACACACACACACACACAAAATCCCAGAACATCAAATATTTAACATTAAGTACATAAGGAAGTTCTGAATAAGAAGGAAGAAAGTGAGACAAATGAATTAATTATCTACTGAAGTTTAATCATTTGGGCATTTTTATTGATCCAGATTATGGTAAAGCTACTCAGACTAAAGAAGTGAAGCATAATTTTCCTGGAAACCTCCTACCTCTTTTTTTCTTTACCCTGCTAATATCTCAAACATACCCAGAGATGCCTTCACAGATTCCCAGGCACTACCTGCTGCCCAGGTTTCCATAATGATTCAGGAGTTTCAGAATTCAGCTTGCCTCAGAAGACAGGAGAAGAATAAGTAGCCTAGAAAAAGAAACACAGATGTACTCCCAAGTAGAGCCTACTTCTTAGGACAATAAAGATATCTAGAGTGTTCCTCTGTGTCATTATTAAAATAAAAGTTCTATAATGAGGATTTTAAAATAGATGAAGTTTAAAAAATAGATTTTAAAATAGATGAAGAGGTCTACTACCTCTTGCCCTTTGGCAAAGGCTCTTGCCTCTATTAATTCTATGGACATGTCCAAAATGTATGTTGCATTAGTCCATTTTGTTATTATTATTAAATAACCTGACATAGGCTACTTTATAAACATAAATAAAATAGGTTTATTTACCTCACAGTTTTAGAGGCTATAAATCCAAGATCACTCAGCCCCATTGACTTGGTCTTGGGAGGGACATCATGGGGGATGACATCACCAGAGAAGTGTGTATGCACGAGTGAGCAATTGGATCACCAGACTGGGAGGCAGAGAACCATGCATGGGTGAAAACTTGCAGTCATGAATACTTGCTTCAAAAGACCAGCATTCCCCACAAGGGCAGCACTCTCAATGACCTCAGGACCTTTCACTAGTTCCACCTCTTAAAAGTCTTATAGCCTCCCACATTGCCATATTGGGGACCCTAAGCTTCCAACACATGAACCTTTGAGGAACAAACCACATCCAAAGAGTAGCATATGGGGTTAGACACCATGGATCCTCATGTTCCCCAAAGAAAGAGTCGGCTCTTTTCTGTGCTGTGTATACAGATGTAGGAGAGTATCTTCCCCTTTGAAGTGTTTCAGGAGTTCCTCAATGTCCGTCAGTGTAAGTGGCAGAGATTGCTTTCATCACTTTCAAATACACTTTCTATATAAACCAGGGTCAAGAAACAGATGCCTAGAGAAGACTTATCTCACAAATCAGGTGAAAATATGATGTCCCAAACATTCTTCTAAAGACATCTAAGCCTCTGTGGAGAAAAGTTAACACCCCAGAATAATCAAATCAGCACCATTTACTAGGACATTCAGCAATTCTGGGAGGCCTTCAGGACATTCCTTATGAATCCAGTATGAACACTCATGATAGTAGACAACTTACTCCTAGCCAAGCCTTACAGCCTATAGCAGTCATTTCTACTCCTCACTGCACACTGGAATCACCTACAAAGCATTTAAAATGCTGAGGCTCATCTCAAAGGGGGTTTGTGAGCATGAGGTAATATATGTGAAAGCACTTTATAAAACTGTAACTCTTCATAAAAATATAAGGGATGATAAATAAGAATCTTTAATTATTCATCCATCATTCCAGCCTATCTTAATTCCTTTGGTTCCGATATCCAATTTATTTGCTATTCCTTCCAGCTATAGGTCAGATTTTTCTAATTGGAGATTTTGTTTATGATTAATAAATATTTACATTAGATTCAAGACTCTGGACTGTGCATTTATTTTCCCTGTCCAGTGGTCACACTTGCCCAAGCTGCAGGGCCATCTTAGCATCTTTGCTCAATGGATACTCTGGTCAGGCTCACTTTACTTCCACATTGGTTGTTTTAATGCATAATGATCAAGCTGCTTTAAATCCATGAGTTTTCCCATTGTTTATTTGTTTTTTAATATTATGTCTACCTCCTATAAAAACCTGAGAAGGTTAGTGAGAAATAAAGATGCTTTAGATATTCCAAAGTATAATTTTTTGACAACTTTCAAATAAACTGGCTTTAAGAAACCTGAGTGGTTGGTATAGAACTAGGAGACGCTCTTTTTTAAACTGTAATCATATAGCCAAGTCTGGCACAGAATGCCATGGAGAATTTGTGCCTTGCTATTGAGCCATTAATTCTTCTGACTGACAGTTCCTTTCCAGTCTTGGGAGGTTAAGAATCCTGAGTAGGAAGAATCCATTCTTAGGCTGCCAAGCACTTACTCCTACTCAAGCAGTTTCTCTGCTTCAGCAGACCCTGATGGAGAATCATTCCATTTTCAGTGTGGATCTAGCCCTGAAAAACCTGACAGTAACTAATTTTAGACTGAGAAGAAATCAAACTTTCCAGAGACTAATGACATAAAATAGGATGATTGGGCAGTAGCCATGTGTAATGTGCCAAATCTTTATAGCCAGCAGGGCAAAGGATTTTTCACTTATGTGGTAAATAGTTCCACTTTCCTTTGGTAGTCCTTACTTAAGCGACAGATTGATTTGACTATTTACCCTTTTTGAATCAAATAAAGACTTAAACTTTGAGTTTCCTGAAAGGTTGCTCTTGATAGAATTAGTCCCTCTTTCCAAAATCTTCACATTAGCACTGACAATGGAAATGAAAGCCTTTAGAGCTTGTGCAGTAGGGACATGGTAGTATCTGAAAGTCTGCCCCAACTCACTATGCTGAGCTTAGAAGGTCAGTGTAAGTATATCCCATAGTGGCAGAGAGTGCTTTCATCACTTTCAAATACACTTCCTACATAAAACATGCTCGAGAAAATTAAGAAATTTTGTAATCTACCTTTTCCTACCTTCTATTTTTAAAAGTTTTAAATTTCTTTAATATTTAACTACATCAAGGCCCTAGGAATTGAAGATAATTTAGTTAATGCTCAACAAAGCATGTTAAATATCTATCAAAACTATGTCAGAGTATCAAATTTAATGCTGAAATCTTTCATATAAATCTTTTCATATAAATCCTAGTATGATTATTTCATATATTACTCTTCTCTTGATAGGAACTTCTACTCCCTGTCTTATCTAATTGCCGCACTCTATAGTTTACCCTGAACTAAATACAGGGGCAAGGAAAGTCAAGGCTATCTTATAACAAAACTGGAGAACTTATATTGTCAGATAGCAAGATCTATTAAGAAGCTAAAATAATTAAGATGGTTTAGTTCCAGCACAAGAAGGACAAACAGAGCAGAATGTCCACAAATAGATATGTGTATATTTTGTCACCCGATTTATGATACAGGTGACATAGCAATGCAGTAGGAAAAATGGTCTCATCTAAAAATGATGACGTGTAAGTTATGTCCATGTAGAGAAGATATACCTTGAGCCTTCCCCACACAATACATAGAAATCAACTCCACATGGATTCCCAATCAAAACAGAAGTTAAATGATAAAGACAGTAGCAAAAGTTTAGGAGACCATCATGGTTTTAAACTAAGCAAAAGTTTCTTAAACACAACTCAAAATATAACTATAATAAACTGAATAATCAAGAGCTGATCTTTGTCAAAAGATGCCAATAAAAGACAGAAATGGTAAGCCATTGAAAGGGAAAATATATTTGCAAACCATATATCCAACAATGACTTATAGCAGAATATGTTTTTTAAATTCTCACAAAGCAATATGCCATATAACTTAATAGAAAACTGGGGAAAATTCTTAGACAATCTCCAAAAGATAATATACAAATGACCAATAAGTATATTTTAAAAAATCACTCAACTACCTGAGTCATCTGGGAAATGCAAACTGAAAAACTACAATGTAATACCGCTAATCACTCAACTGAATGGGTCCAATGGAAAAGCCCGACCATAGCAAAAGGTGGCAACATGTGGAATAATCAGAAATCTCATTCCCTGCTAGAGGGAAGTTTAATTCATATAAATTCTTTTGGAAAACTCTGACAGTATCTTTAGATATGTCC